CCCGAGCCCGCTGCCCCATGCCCTACGCTGCTCGGTGAGGCCCCCAACCTCTTCTCTTTCCCCCGTCACCGAACGCACGCGCTCCGTCGAACCCCCGCGACCGAGCTCGCGCTCGCCCTGCCCGAAGTTGCGCCCTCCTGATGTAGCCCGCGCGCGCCTTCACCTCCCCTTGCCCCTGCTCGCCGACCAACGCCGTCAACCGCGGCCCCGCACCAGCCTGCTCTTCGCTGTCGCCCGGTCCGGTTCCCACCTCCGGCCGCTTCCTGTGCCGCTTAGCCGCCTCCCGCTGCCACTCCGGCTACCACGAGCTGCTCTATGACCGCGTACCTGCGGCCCTGGCCACGCCCCCTATCGCCGGCCGGCGCCTTGCGCTCCTCCTTGGCCTCGCCGTGGCCACGAACCTCCACCGCGTCCCGCTCCGGCTGGCGCTCTTTGGCCCTGTGCCCCGGCGGCCTCGTCCCGCCTGCGGGCGAGTGCTCGCTCGGGTGCGCCCGCACCCACTGGACCAAACCCGCCAAGGCCCCTATGGGCATATGACAAACGGGGCCCACGCCCAGAACGAAAATAATAATAATAGAAAAATAGATAAGTAAATAATTAAAATATTAATTAACTAATTAATTAAATAATTAATTAACTTAATTAATCCTGATAGGTTAACCTAATCACTAAGTTTAGTTAATTAATCTGTTAGGTTAGTTAACAGTCAATGACAGCTGGGACCCACTAGTCAGGTTGACTAGTCAACCCACGTTGATTGCTGATGTCAGCATGACATCATGCTGATGTCATAAATTCATTTTCGAATTAATTTAAATAATTAATTAAATTCCAGAAATTAATAAAATCTTTAGAAAATCATATCTTTTAATCCGTATCTCGGATTAAATTATTTTCAACATGAAAGTTGTTCAGAATGACGAGACGAACCCGGATACGTAGCCCGTTCGTCCACCACACACCCCTAACATATCAAACCCGCAACTTTCCCCCTCCGATTCATCTGTCAGAAAACACGAAACACCGGGAATACTTTCCCGGATGTTTTCCCCCCTTCACCGGTATCACCTACTACCGCGTTAGGGCACACCGAACACCGCGTATTGTCTTGTTACGCTTTGTGATGCTTTGATTGCTCTGTTATTTATTGTGTTCCCTCTCCGTTACTTCTTTCCGATAGACCCCGAGACTGCCGGTGACCCCCAGTTCGACTACGGTGCTGGTGACTCGTCCTTCTTGCCAGAGCAACCAGGCAAGCCCCCCCCTTGATCACCAGATATCGCCTATTCTCCTCTATACTGCTTGCATTAGAGTAGTGTAGCATGTTACTGCTTTTCGTTAATCCTATTCTGATGCATAGCCTGACATTGTTGCTACATCTGTTGATACCTTACCTGCAATCCTAAATACTTAGTATAGGATGCTAGTTTATCATCATTGGCCCTACATTCCTGTCAGTCTGCCTTGCTATACTATTGGGCCGTGATCACTCGGGAGGTGATCACGGGTATATACTATACATACATACATACTATACAGATGCTGACTAAAGTCGGGTCAGCTCGTTGAGTACCGGCAAGTGATTCCGATGTGGGGGCTGGAAGGACAGGTGGCTCCATCCTGGTAGAGGTGGGCCTGGGTTCCCGACGGCCCCCGACTGTTACTTTGTGGCGGAGCGACTGGGCAGGTTGAGACCACCTAGGAGACAGGTGGGCCTGGCCTTGTTCGGTGTTCGCGGATACTTAACACGCTTAACGAGATCTTGGTATTTGATTTGAGTCTGGCCATTTGGTCTATACGCACTAACCATCTACGTGGGAGTAGTTATTGGTATCCCGGCGTCGTGGTATCAGCCGAAGCACTTCAGACGTCAGCGACGGAGCGGCGCGCGCCGGATTGGATTGGAACGCCTGCTAGGCTAGGTCTGCTTCCGGCCGCCCTCGCAACGTGCAGGTGTGCTATGGGCGATGGGCCCAGACCCCTGTGCGCTTAGGTTTAGACCGGCGTGTTGGCCTCTCTGTTTTGCCTAGGTGGGGCTGCGACATGTTGATCTTCCGAGGCCGGGCATGACCCAGGAAAGTGTGTCCGGCCAAATGAGATCGAGCGTGTTGGGTTATGTGGTGCACCCCTGCAGGGAAGTTAATCTATTCGAATAGTCGTGATCTTCGGTAACAGGACGACTTGGAGTTGTACCTTGACCTTATGACAACTAGAACCGGATACCTAATAAAACACACCCTTCCAAGTTCCACAGACAACCCGGTGATCACTTTTCCACAGGGCGACGAGGGGAGGATCGCCGGGTAGGATTATGCTATGCGATGCTACTGGAGATGCTACTTGGAGATGCTACTTGGAGATGCTACTTGGAGGACTTCAATCTACTCTCTTCTACATGCTGCAAGACGGAGGCTGCCAGAAGTGTAGTCTTCAATAGGAATAGCTATCCCCCTCTTATTCTGGCATTCTACAGTTCAGTCCACTGATATGGCCTCCTTACACATGTACCCATGCATATGTAGTGTAGCTCCTTGCTTGCGAGTACTTTGGATGAGTACTCACGGTTGCTTTGCTCCCTCTTTCCCTCGTTTTCCTCTTGTTCTCGGATGCTGCAACCAGACGTTGGAGCCCAGGATCCAGACGCCACCTTCGACGACGACTCCTACTACACTGGAGGTGCCTACTACTACGTGCAGCCCGCTGATGACGACCAGGAGTAGTTAGGAGGATCCCAGGCAGGAGGCCTGCGCCTCTTTCGATCTGTATCCCAGTTTGTGTTAGCTATCTATGGCTACTTGTTTGTTTATGTCTGTACTCAGATATTGTTGCTTCCGCTGACTCGTCTATGATCGAGCACTTGTATTCGAGCCCTCGAGGCCCATGGCTTGTATTATGATGCTTGTATGACTTATTTATGTTTTAGAGTTGTGTTGTGATATCTTCCCGTGAGTCCCTGATCTTGATCATACACATTTGCGTGCATGATTAGTGGGGATTGAATAGGGGGCGTCACACCCCCACCCGCAGCCCAAACCCTAGGTCAGATCGACCCCTCCCCCCGCCGCCCCCTTCCTCCCTCGTCCCCATCTCCTCGCCGCCGCCCCTCCCCGATCTCGATATGTC